TAATAACTTATTACATTATCCAGCTCGGGTACATTATCCAATGCTAAATGTATGGAACCGTGATTGACTATGCAAACATAAAAGCTGAAGTCAAATGCTTGAGAAGGGTCTGGCTGCCTGACATGCACCGCCAGCCTATTGACGAAGTCAGTGCACGCTTTGCCATGACAGTGTTTTTGTCGGTTTTATGAAGAAAACCTGCTGATCAACAAGAGTTACACTGAACGTATATTAACATTGCCATACTGGTAATAAGGAAATGAAATATGGAAACTTTCAAAATAAAACCTACCACGACGATAAGACATGAATGTCGGGTTTATTCGCAGAAAAACGAAAAGGCTACTCCTGAAACTCATGAAAGCCATGCCGAACACGATTAGAGCCGGTTATCAAAAACTGTAATATTGATTAAAATATAACTTATTAAGGATTCTAGGAGGTTGTGACAATGTACAGTCAACGTAGTACAGATTACTTTTGCTGTTGTTGCCACAACGTTTGCAACGTTGTCACAACCTCCTAGAAAGTTGTCAGACAACGTTGTCATAACTTTCTGAGGAATTACATTTCAACATTGTGACAATGTAGAGAGCACCAAGCAGACAATGCTGTGGGCACCAAAACAGTACGTTGTCACAATGTAATTGTGTGTTAGAATTAAAACCTGATGGTTTTGCTTCCTAACAAGAATTGGCTTGATTGTTGCCATTAGGCCACTAGGAATCGATCAAAAGTACGTGGAATCAGTTCCCAAAACACCTGGTTAAACGATCAGAATCCTTTACACTGTGATATCAACCCACCAGGAAAACACAGAATACCATTAGCCACTACTGAAAACCACCAGGAACCAACAGACACTTTTCATGGGTTCTATGATTTTTTTCAACAGGGAGGTACATTAAATATAACTCTCTAGCCGTGTTATGGACAAAAGCAGCAGCAGCCAAAAGTTAACGTGCTGTTGGGCCGCTTCTGCCATTGTGGCAGAGTGTGCATGTGCACGTGACGTCACTGGGGCTGAGAGTGCATCTGGCTGAAAGTGCATGTCTGCAGCCAGACTCTACTGAAATGCTTACCTGTTAAGCTCTAGATATTCATTCACAGCCTTCTTGAAGAACTGGAGAACTACATGTAAAGAGGAGTTATAACAGCTCAGAAAGCATGACAAATTCTATATACTGTTGGTCATATGCTGTAGGCATACATGTTAATTTGGCTCAAAAGACCAAGACATTGTGAAAGAATACTGACCTTCTGTTAGCAGGTGATGAATACATCTCTCTCCTGTGACAAAGAGCATTGCATATTTAGAGGAAAATCATTAAATACAGCACTTCAGTTGACATGGTTGAAAATTTTGACATACCAATGGGGAAAGCATCCAGACAGGATGTGATGCAGTCTGTGAGATGAGAGTAATGCTCAGAGCCCAAAGAGGACAGCGAAGAAGACAGACATGCTGACAGACTGCACACTGCCTTCTCCTGCAGCCAGTGTGGAACATTACTCAGAGCACTGAGAGGAAGAAAGGAGAGAGACTGAATTTAAAGACAGAAGAAAGACTAAGCAATATGACAATATTTAACGTTATTGTGATAAATTACATCACAGTATACTTTTCTCAGCATATTATGGGTACTGTCAGTACTTAAAAGAGACTTTCCAGCTGCATGACTGATTCAAAATAGAGCATAATTAGTACTGTTTTGATTTTCTGAACCATGGTATGCACAAGGTTGAATACACAGCACTGGATTCACAGTTTTTGATAGTATTTATTTTTAAACATGACACTACTTCGTTTGTTACTATGTTTTTTTCCATATTGCCCACCTCTAGACAGAAGTTCTACAACATAGATGGGCTATTTGGGGATGGATGAAGACAAAAATACCTGGCAATGGCCCTCTTCAGTGGGTTTTTAGCCTGCAGTGTGATGTATATGTCTCCCAAAGTGTTCAGGCAGGCCAGGAGTAAGGCACCTGGAGCCGACTCATTCTGACCCTCCAAATGCTCCAGCATGAAGCCTGCCTGCAAAGTCACCATACAGACCCACTCATCAACAACACAGCCACTGTTTTCATGTATTAAGTATGTAATACATAAATGTTGTCTTATTTCTGATGTTCACACATCAAACTTTACCAATCAAAGGGTCAATCAAGAAAATAAGGGACAGTGAATGGTAGATCAAACAAGAGTCTGTCCACTAACAGTCCTAATAAGTCTTATATTACGTTGATTAATGAGCCATAAACTTCTCAATGGATGTGTTCACTTCTGCTCGTTTTTACATCAAAATCGCAATTTCAAAGAGTATAATTTTGTTCATGAGAGCTGCCATTTACTAATACAGGCTCAGTCATCAACAACGTTGTCTTAAAAGTTTTGAGCAAAGTAATTTAACCTAATAACATGGGGCTTGTGAACTGCCTGTAGATGACTTAGATCAATCAAAAGCAACCAAGCACAGAAGTGCGGTGACATCACAACCACAACTAACTGGCAATCTGGCACACTACATTTAGTGTTCAAGCCTCAAGTCAAAAAAAGTAGATACGCTTGTGGTTGTGGCCAAAAAAGGCCTGGATCTCTATTTATATAAAACATCATCGCAATTTAAATCGCAGTTACGATACTGGTCAGAAAATCACAATCAGATATTTTCTCAAAAACATTCAGTCCTACCTAGGCTCTTGATTCATATACTCCTTACGTGTGTAAAACACATTGAAACAATGAACCCTTCCACCATACCTTAGATACCAGCTGGATCTGCTGAACCGGATCAGTGGAGGCCAAACAGTCCTTCAGCGTCTGGGCAAGCTGCCTGGAGCCACTGTCTCCATCTACAGACAGGGAAGCTGAGCAAGAGAGACACGCAAACGTCCAGTAAGCAAACGGAGTACAGTTTCAACCACAATCCAAACTCTGACCCCAGTTACTCACCCCTGAGGCTCTCCAGCTTGGCACCATCCAAGGCCACAGCCTCCACTTTGGGAGCTTTCTTCTTCACCACCATGACTAGTTCTCAACCAATACAACAGCAGCTGGGTGTCAGTCAGGTTTGCCAAGAGTCTGTTTTAGAAAGAAAAAAAAAATCAAAATTTGAATCAGTCCATGACTGTTTAATTACAAACCAAATCTTCTTCTTGTATAGAGCCATCTATTGTCACATTTGCACATAAACTCATGCATGTCCAGGCTATTTCACTGAACAGGTATAAAAGCAAAGATAGCTGTGGATCAAACCTCATAAGGGCATAGCCAAGACCTTCAGAACAGCCAACATTTAAAAATCACAGATAAGCTCAGAGAAATTGAGAAATAGCGAGCAAATTGAGAACTTTAAATTGAGAACTTTAAAGAAACAGTTAAGTAACTTTAAATGAGACAAATGCAGCCATTTTTCTATGTTTTTTTTTTTAACATTCACATTTACATGTGTCAGTAAAACACCAGGTATATCAGTTTGTCAGTTACATTTCTGAAAAAAATAGGCTGAATCTGAAATGGCTCCCTAGTACCTACATAGTGCATAAAACAGATCTTCAAAACCCAAATAGCCCATCAACATTTCTAAAAAAAAGAGCCATTTGGGATCAGCTAGATGGTTCTTTAAGGGTTCTTTAGTAAAGGGAATTGTTTTATTTAGAACCATAAGCTCTATATAGAATCACTTCATGCTTAAATGGTCCTTCACATGGTGAAACAGTTCTTCAGATTGATGGAGAATGTGTTGTACATGGTTCTTTGCAGAATCTTTTTGAAAATGGTTTTATACAGCATCAAAAAGGGCTCTTCTACTGTTATGATGCCAAGCTTGTAACAACAGAAACAACAAAAGAACCGTTTTTGGTGATATATAGAGCAATACACAACACATTCTTCATCAACCTGAAGAACCATTTCACCTTGCAAAGAAACATTTAAGCATACAAATGATTCTTTGAATGTTTATGGGTCTATACAGAACCATTGTCTTTACTAAAGAACCCTTGAATAACCATCTTTTTAAGAGTGCATGTAACGTACAATGTCCTACTGGGTAGGTTAGTTATCTGCATTTTAGTGCACTATTTAGGTGAAGAAGACAGCATGTGATAACTCACAGTGCTCTACATAGGGAGGGATGAGCCATTAGTCAGCCTAAGAATGTCAGAAAAACAGCATTTGAGGTTGGCTACCCCGCTGTGAGTGTTGCTGAAACAGGCGAAACTGACAGAGCGGTGCTTGTTAATGGAAAAACCCTTTGGGTTGGGTCAGAAATGACACATCCAAGAGGAAATATCTGAATGACCATTCAACCTGCGGTAAGACATTCTCGTAAACAGCCGGAGATGACAAGACAAATGAAGCACATGGACCTCAGGAGGGGTAACTGAGGGTTAAACCCGTGGACTTATCAGCAGGAAACGACTGCTGTTCGTGTAATTAGACAAGTAAAGTGAAGATGAGAGCTGGTCAGACAGTACAAGCCTTCTCCAGTAGCTAGGTTAGCTAAGTAATGTCAGCGCTGCCTCTGCAAACTTAACTGAGATGGAAACGCTAGCTAATGCTAGCGGCATGCACGCGCTCCCATATAAGCTAACGGTTGAATGAATCTTCCACTCACCAGTCAAACGTTAAGTCTGAGTAACGACTCTATATGGCATGAAAAAATACCGGCATGTTTTTGTAAAAACCTGACCGCTCTTTAAAAAAAAGGACTGTAATCCTTTCGCTAGCTGCTTTTCTTTCACCCTTACCACCATAACACACGCGCGCGACACGTCAAGTCCGGAATCGTAAGCGAGAGACCCGCCCAAGACCACTCTGATTGGCCAAGCTGAAAAATCTCTCACTTTGATTGGCTGAAATACACATCAGTCAAATTCGCCGCTATAATTTACATGACCACGCCCATCGTGTTTTCGATTGGTTAGATTTAACAAACGACACGCCCCTCGGTCAACTCACTGGCCTGGCTGCGGTACTATGCTGAAATGGAAAGTTTGAGGGAGGAGGATGAGAGACTTTTGGCCGTTTTCGTTTTATAATTAGGTTAACAGAGCAGTGAGAAACTGCGCAGGACGGAGTGTATCATGGAGTGAATTCGGTGGCTGTGTTTGTCCCAGCTTTCTTTCAGGGTAAGAATAAGAATCTTTCAGTGTTAACTGTGAAAGACGTGTTGCTCTGTTTTCCCCTGTGGATGAGGACGTGGGAAGACGGGGGTCTGCCTCAGAGTGAGCGTTTTCTTTCTCTGCATTTACACACGTGATTCAAAACTATGGACAACAGTATGCTGTACAACTGCTGTGGTATAGAATACTCTACTGCTGCTGGACTATGAGATATTATAGCATTCTTATAGAGTACAATACAGCTGATTTACTACAGTATACGATAACAGTGCTGTACTATGGAGAAAAGTTCAAAACATTGTGGATCTGCTTTAAGGTGGGCAATAAATGCACACATTTTCTACTATGGCTGATATGTCTGTACATATTATATCAGCAACTTATGAATGCCTTCCGTTTTCTACCATATCTACATAGGTAGTTGACTTCAGCTCAAATTCATGGCAAAAACATATTATTGGATTCCTTTAGAATGAATATTCAAAGTTGTGTTCTTTTTTATTTTAGTTGTGACAAACCTTTTCATGTGTTGGTTCTAGAGCTTGTCCTCCAGCGTGAGGTCAATCTAATGATAATATTTGATTCAGAATTATCAGACAGACAAGGACAATATCACACATTGTGATGGACCCTGAACTAATACAGCTAAAAAGAGGTCCAAATATAAGGCTAATTCATCACCATAATATGATGTCATAGCAAAATATGAGCACATCAATACCATTTCATACATTGTTTCATCAAGCACAAAGAATATGGAGTAAAACTCTAGAACACGGCCCTTTAACTATTAGTAGAAATTAAAACAATAGCTTTTATAATAAAATATATTTACATGTGTAGTCGAAATCAACGATGACTATATTAACTAGCAATGCCAGCTTTACCTAATAAACAACATAAGCAGCTACTTAGGGCTCCTCGACCACCAGGTGGCCCCCGAACAACTTTTGAATCATTACTGTCACATTATGTTGTCTAAGATGCTCGAGTGAGGGGAAAAGAGCAGCTGGTTAATCATGTCTCAAAAAAGAGTGTATGCGTTTGGGGCCAAACAACAGAAGAGAAAATGGGAGGATAAGGAGAAAAGGTTTAAACGTAAAGGTATGTTTTGTTTTACTGTGATGTTATCATTATGCCATTCGTTTTGGTTTGTATGGACAACAAGAAACCATCAGCAATACGTAATTAGCCAGTTATAAATGTATATAATTTTGACAGCTTGTGGTCATCTCTGTTATTAGTCAGCCTCCAATTTTACAGTACATCAGCAAGCAAGATAGGGGGGTGAAAATCCTGCTTGGGGCCCCTAAAGTGCTAGAGCCAGCCCTGTTTACTAGGGCTGCAAAATGTAGAATTTGTTAATCGTTACTGTGATATTGGCCTTTGCTCGTATTGAAGCAGCCTGCAATTGAATAAGTCTGTTTTTTTTACTGTGTGCTGTGAGCACCCAGACCAAATTTTGATGAATGAATGTTTTCATGTAATCCAACAAAAGTAAATTACATGTGGTAAAACAATCTTGAACCATGTCAGATTACTAGTTTACCAATGCATTTTTAATATATTGGAGGCTACGTTGCAATCACAATATGTGGCAGTGCCACCACAATGCTACTAGTTGCCTATATAATGCAGCTGTAGTATGCATTAGGCCAGATAAAGGCTACTTGGTCACAATATGCCTGTTTCTCAAACTGCTTACCTGAATCTCAAGCTTGTAAAACACTCGAACACTGCAGTGAGCCATTTTCCATTATAAGAGAGATTGAATTTAACCCCGTAAATGGCCGGGGCCCACCGGCAGGCCCAAAATTCTATTACACACTTCTATAACCTAAGAATAGCTCAGCTAGTTTGCATGTAAGTCTTAGTATACAATAAGCCTCAGATTTTAAGGGGTTAATGAAGAATCTAATTTATAGCTATTTATCAGGGCTTATGTGTACCAGTGCAATTATAATTTCATATCACAATATAGGACATGGCAGTCACAACAGTGGCTATTTTCTGTTAAATGGTGATTTTTGGTCTGGCTGTATGCCAGATTGTGTTGAATCTAAGGTTACAGTATAATGTTTAAGTAATAAATGCGTAAAATGTTTATATCACAATTTTAATTGCATCCCACCAAAGGACTATGTAATTGTGGTCTAATTTGGCCGAGCTTTATTGGACAGCCGCCATTAGCCGCCATTATGTGTTCAAATTTTCAATAAACTATCTGGTGAAACCAACAGCATTAGGGTTTAGATTGCACTAGGATTAGGTTTAAGCATCTACAAAGCATCTACTGGGTGTTATCCAAATGAAAGGTTACCTTCTTTTCTAACAGCACTGAAAAATGCTGGATTTTTTTTTTTCGGCAAAAGCTTATCTTCTCTTTAGATCATGTGTTCTGTCATCTGTACTTCTTGTATTAAAAAGGACCATTTCCATTAATCAGGCGTTCAAATTAATACCTGTTTTGTATTCACAGAGTGACGTCACACTTGGTGGACCTCAGTTTTGCAGACAAAACGTAATCCGTCATAATTATATAGACTTCAAGACCTACAATCTTTTGTTTCATGTTTCAGTTTCAACATTCTCTTGAACATTTTCAGCGTATGTGCAAAATTACAAAATTAAAATTATAGACGTTTGAAGACGTTGACATTGAAGAGTGTATCCTTCATCCAAAAATATTTGTTTTTTAAAAAAGGGACATTTCAGAATGTGATAATTCTTTTAAAAATATGGCAAATTATATTTACATTTACAATTGGAAACACAATAAATGTCTGTTTGGGGGGGTCATGTTAGCCGGCTATATATAAGTGGATCCCAAATGTATTGGATGGAGCTCCATCACTCCAGAGAACGCAGTTCCGCTGCTCCACAGCCCAGCACTAGTGGCCTTTGTACTTCTCTTAAGATGATGCTTATCATTAGGCATAGTAACTAGATAGTGGCTCATATAAGGCTGCTCCAGAGTGTCCCTTTCTGCTGGCAGTGGAGATTATTCAAGATGTGTGTGTGTGTGTGTGTGTGTGTGTGTGTGTGTGTGTGTGTGTAGTTGAACACTTTTTTGGCAACATCATGAGTAAAGTCACTTCAATATATGCACGTATAATTATCATTATCCCAACAACTGGATATTTAGTCCTTTTTCTGATTGTCTGGTCTTTGAAACATTCTTTTTTAATTTAAGTTGGTCGATCCTCAAAGCCAGATCTAGTTACCACAACCTTGTAGAAGACGTGTAATTGGGCTCCACACGTGTTTCAGCTTTCTTTGTGTTTAGGCCAAAGCTATAATGAGAATGTTTTATTATAGTAAAAGACTCTCTCTCTCTTTTTCCCTCTCCTTCCTTCTCTCACTCCATCCCTACCTCCCCCGCTCCTCCACCTCACCTCTTCCTGCTATTTCACCTTTGCTTTCACATGTGTTTTTCATAACCGAAATGCGTACAGTGGAAAAGTGTGATGGTGGACCCGAGTTGGCTGGTGGGGTTTGTTTTGGTCGTGGTCAGTCTCTCCAGGGCCCTGCCCAGCCCTGGAACACTTTACATTTTTTACACAGTAAAAGAGCTTTTTCACATAACTGATCTCTCTGCTCTCCTGAGGCAGAGTAGCGGCCACGATGCCAGAATATGGATTTTGATAACAGTGCCAAGTGCAGTTTCACAATACTAGACCTAAAAATGACACTGTGGCAAAAAAATGAACACCCAATTTTTATTGGACTGAACACAGAAAAAATCTTCAAATCATTTCAGCTTAATTAACCTCTTTCATTTTCTAATTCAGTCTTTATCACTCTCTTATTTATCATCACAAAACTCTTCGGATGTTATATATTCTATATCAAATTAGCTTGCACAGTTTCAGCTAAAGGCAGAATACAGAATATAAGCCTGGCATTAGTCTGTTGAAATAGCTCATTAAATTGACTCTAATCTTGCACTTACATCTTGTAATTTTCTTAGTATATGTTTGTTGTTTGTGTCAGATATTGGGTATTTTTGTATCTACAGTCATATGCAAAAGTCTGGGTGCCCCTGGTCAAATGACATGTTTTGGTTTTCTAAGTAAAATTAAGATGACACATCCACATACAGACAACACACTTCTGCAGGTTTTAATGCACAATTACTGTTTATTTGTTTATTTGTGTTTATTTGACATATTGGGGAAATAATAAAACATAAAATGTGGCCTGTGCAAAAGCTATGTTATATTGTTTTTACAGTATGTTAAACAGAGCAAATAAATAGAAATTGACCACTAAAATTTGAAAAATGCCATATTTAACCCTTGTGTGGTGTTCATGTTTTTGTTAGTGGTCTGGTGGACGCACTGTATTATTGTTTTTTTTTGTTTGTTTGTTTTTTTTAATCAATACAGTCATAACAATTTATGTAAAAATACCAGATATTTAAAATATCAGTGGCCAGTGTAGGGTTCTCCTTTAGCAGCTGTAGCCAATCAGCAGCCTGTCCATGTTGTCCACTCTCACACACACACAGACACACACCAACAGCAGGCCATGTAGGAGGAGAACAGAGTGAAGGACACAGCAGCTCCCCACTTTTATTCCACGCTGGTTCACCCCAACACCACATGTGTAATATAAAAGTGTAGGGGGGTGAACAGTGTGAAGTCATTGAAAATGTATTATTTTATATGTACTTCACAGAAAAAGAGCAAAGACCAAGAAATCTGGGGTTAAAATAATAATAAATCGCATCATTTTTCATTTGGTAAACATTGAAAATGGGTCCCACAGACCCCAACACCACACAAGGCTTAAGTTTGTTCCCTTTGTTCCCTTAAGTTTGTTCCCATGTGTGAGAAAATCAGCAAAAGTGTCACCACGGTGTAATTTGACTGGAGGTGTTCAAACTTTTGCGCACAACTGTGGGTATTAGTACTGAACCTTATTTCTAACAGTATCTTAGCCCAAGGGTATCTTTAGACTCTAGCCCAGGGGTGCCCAATGCCCAAAAGACCTGGTGTGGCTGCAGGTTTTCAGTCCTACAAAGCATGAGCACACATTGGACATCCCTGCTTTAACCTATCTGTACTAGCTAGGATGCTTTCTCTGAGTGGACAGCAAAGCACTTTAGTAAGCTGCTCTGAATAAGAGCGTCTGCTAAATGCTGTAAACGTAAATGACAGTATCGAGTATGCACTGTTAGAGCAGTGAATTGTTTATGATAGAGTTAAAAACATTAAACATACAATATGCGTGCAGCATCATCTGAAAATGTTCAAATAGGTACAGCTTTATTAGTGTCTGCCTTTTAACTCAGCCTCTTTCTTTATCAGTACAAAGCTCTTTTAATGTTCTATGTCAAATTAGCCTGTTCATAGGGCAACATCAACAGGGTGTTAACCTGTTTAAATAAAAAAATGAAAGTGTCAAATGTTAGAGCATCACTGTCGTAATGAAAAAGCATTGAATTTTCTGCTCTTCTGTGGCCTTCAGGCTTATTATTAAACTCTCTTTCTAAGTTCTAAGTTGGCACAGCTCTCAGAAATCAGTTGCCGTTTGAAGTGCTAGTGATTTTTCAGTTCTCTCTGACTGTCTGTCTGTTTCTGCAGTTTGGCTGGAACTGGAAGGGTCTGAGGCTCATCAGCATGGCGGAGGGAGACGAGGGTTCAGCTGGAGAGTGGAAGGAGAAGTACATGGCTCTGGAGGCTCTGCTCTTCAAGTTCAGAGGACAGATGAGTGTGATTCGGGAACTTACAGCAGAAAAGGTCAGTGCACTTCACCATTAGAGGTGGAAAGTTGCGACCTAACGATTTGGTTCATTTATGATTATTTGGAAATTCATCATGAAATTTCAACTTTCACCATGAATTGGTTCAACTTCAATATTTCGACACAGTTCAGAATTATTTAATTAGTACACAAATGTAGCTAGAGAAACTATGTTTACACAGAAGTAAAATATAGCTAAAAATGTTGTTTTTTGCAAGTGTTTGCATTCAGAAATAGCCCAAAAAGGTTATTTTGCACAAAACTAATGAGCACACTTTATTAAATGTGATTAGAATCAATGAATGAAATATTATTAGATTAGATTAAAATAACTGGTCATGTGCGCTCCTGCTTTGTTGGGATGAAAACCTGAAGCTACACTTGCGGATAAGACCGGACACCGCGCTCTAGCGTATTTGCGCTGTTATTTCAATTGATTAATCAAATATTATTTGATTGCTATCAAGCTACATCCCTCTCTGTCTCTCTCTCTCTCTCTCTCTCTCTCTCTCTCTTTCTAACTATGTCTCTCCTCCACCCGCCTGGTTAACTGTCTAATGTAGGGACTTTAAAAGTCATTTTACTTAACCTCATGCTGAATAAGTAAAAAACTACAACCCCCATCTCTTGCTAAACTAATTACAGAGGAGGAATGTGGATGTAGTGTATCTGCGGTGTCCTCTCGCAGACTCTTACTGCCTCATTCAGTCCCTCATTTTCAGTCCTTGTTATGGAGTCTCATCGTCCATTAACAGTTACTTGAATGTGTGTCAGTCACATAGTCAACATGTAGCTTTTTTAGGAGGAGCACGCAGTTTCTTACTAAAATATTTACCATGTTTGGCATGTTGCAGCCAAGTCTCTCTCTCTCTCTCTCTCTCTCTCTCTCTCTCTCTCTCTATCTCTCTCTCTCTCTCTGTATGTGTGCGTTTGTGCTCTATGGCCTACTTCTTTCAGCCTGTCTCGGGGGAGAGCTGATTAGAGGTTAATATAAACAGGCGCTTGACCACAGGGCTCCAGACTGCTGCATTCTGGGATAGCACGAACTGCATAGAATTGCTGACTTTAGATGGACACTAGTATGTGAAAAAGCTTCTACAGGGAGTAGACGTTTGCCTATTCTTTCTACACCTCCCTCAGGTGCATTAGCAGCACCGAAAATGAACTTTTACTGCTTCCATTTGTAATTTTGCCATGTAGTGTTCATTATTCTTCAGATACCATTGATGACCGTTGCTACACTGTAGATTTATACACGCATATACACCTGCTCATTCAGTCAGATAAGGTGTTGATGGATAGCTGACCACTTAAAATGCTATCTTAATTCCAAAAACTGCCAGACTGTAATTGGTCAGCGTTGTTGAGGACAGGCATTTTTGAGAACTAACATCATTATGGTTTGGCAGGCTGGCAAGTTTGAAGCGAAAGTGAAATCCTATCTGATTTATGGCAGTGGCACGTTAATTTCAAGATGTAAATCAGGAGTGCTATCTAATGACTTTGCTCTTGTTCAAATATGCATAATTACTTTTTAACATTACATGTAAGTGGCCCTTATTTATAGTAATTACAATTTGAATGTCTCTATCAGATGTAGTTTACCTACAGAATGACTCAACAACAGAGCTCATAGACATTGAACTATTTGATGATTTCATTCCTCACACCTTTATTTGCAGGATAATGTGCCAGTGGCCTTTAATCTGACCTTCACCTTCCTTTATGCTGAGCCATATGAGCTCATTTGTAAAATATCGCATTACTGTTGTGCCTGTGAGCTTGTTGGCTATGGGCAAAAGCTTATATTCTTTCACAGTGTGAAGTTAGCCTTACCCATGCTAGCACTGTTACTTATGCATGATGCAGTTCTATGTAGAATGTCTAAAAGTAAGAACTATATCACCATCTAAACATCCATATCCACGTTTTACATTATAAACTGTATATGACCCATCATTTCCAGTGTCAGGAAATACATTACATACAATTACCCAGGAACCACAACAACTAACTAAAATATAAACTTTTTTAGTATTTAATGTTTTGTAAACACTTCCAAAGTTCAGTCGTAGAAGTTGGTGGCATTTTCTGCCTCCCTCAATCTAAGTAATGCTAATTACATATTAAGACTAATCTGTCCATAAAACATCTCAGATGTGAAGTTTGAGGCTTTTAGTGCCAGTTTTTCTCTGGACTCTGGGATGGCCAGTCAGTTGTTCTGAGAACAGCAGCATCTTTTTTGATTGACAATTACAACCTTATCTTCTCAGCAGTGTGCTTGCGCCTTTGTCGTGCTGCAGAATGAATTTCTTCCCAATCAGAGGTTCTCCAGAGGGTGCTGCATGATGTATTAACATGTGTTTGTATTTATCAGCTTTCATGATGCCTTCGACCAAAAACAAATCAACAAACTCCAGATGTTATTATACATCCCCAAATGAGCATGCGTTGGTTATCCTTTCAGTTCTTTTAGACCCATAGCATTGAGTTGTCTTCTCACAGTGGAAGGATGGACAGAAACACCTATGGATGTTTTCAGATCTGAAGCAGCTTGATTTTCTCCTCTCTCTCAAAGATGAAAGCTTTAAGTGCTGTTTATCTGATAGGGACAGTTCTGGTGGTCTACCTGGTCTTGTGTGGTTGTTAGAAGTCTCATTTCCTCTGTATCTTTTAATCATTTTTGGAACTATAGTTTGGAAAACTTCTGTTTTTTTCACCTATTTTCTTTTGACTTTCCTCTTCCTTTTGGTTTTAATATTGAAAGGATAAAGTGGCAGTAGGTGCACAAAGGTAAAGAGAGAAGTTAAATACTGATAAATGTAATATTATGCTTAGTCTTTTATGTCATTTTCTGTTTACGCTTTTAGCATGTTCACCTTCATATTCAGATCATAAACACCATGTTTTAATTGTCAGACACCTAAAAGTGAAGAGCACAACAATGAACTGAATTGTTAAGTTTATGTTTGTTTATTAATTTATTTTCCTTTAGCTGTAGTTCTTAAAAAAAAGTGAAAATTTTCAACTTTGTCACTGTCAACTTTAATATACACAACATAATAGGCAGAATGACAATGTACTGAGGTCACAGCATCCGGAGAGAAGAATAAAAAAATCTGCCTCTGCTCAGAGGAGACAACATACAGTTGTGTTCACTGGGAACAAAGGGAAGTTGCAAAACACCAAGTACTTAAGTAGGAATGCTTGAGATGCTTGTTGACATTAAACATTTTGTCTGCTCTTGGTTCTAGGTCAGATTCTGGATCACTTTGCCATTCTTAAGTAGACCTTTGCTGTGCAGTTTAAGGATCCTCGTAAATGGTCGTTTGGTGTTCCACGATGCAGATAAGCGACAGGGCAAATCAGACAGTTTATCAGAGGAGGTTACAGGAGAAGAGCAGCGATCGGGAGAGAGAAAGTGACAAAATGAAATAGTGAAGAGGAGGAGGAGGAGGAGGAGGAGGAGGAGGACAAATGACTGGGAGATGAAAAAGAGAGGGAGTCAGTGGGGGGGAGGCAGAGCAGAAATAAACTATCCTGTAATCATTGAGATGCCCAGGGGAGGAAATGCCGGAGTCTGTAAACAGAGAGTGTGTTATATGGGAAGTCAACATTCAGCAACACTTTTCGTAGCGGAGGGGGAGATACAGGTCAGAACTTTTCTCATCTTCGGTTCGCTGATTCTTGCCCAGTGCCCTTCCTGCTGAATCAGAATGATGTGACCACAGCGAGAGCCCAGTGCTTAGGTTTCTTCAGTAAGGTTATGCAGGGCAGATCAGAGCGGGGCACAAACTAACACAGGGTAAAATGAAACTGGATACTTTGTGTAGTTAAACAGGTTCAAATATGTGCTTTTGGTCATTTTCCTGTTTTCTCATAGTAACCTTATCTGCAGATTGGACAGATATTTTTCCAGATTGACTTGGAAGGATGTTTTTATACCATAGAAGTAACTTTTTAATCGTAAGTGTTTTTCAATTGGTGACTATAATATAGCACTTTTTGAAGCATATACATATACATACAACTCACGGTGAGAGCTAGCCAAGCTAAATTACGGCCTCCACGCGGGAGGTTAGTTGTAATGCTGTGTTACAACTAAGCGTCCTAATGTAAATGACAGGAGAAGACCATATCCTGCCATATAAATTAACAATAGTTACATACTTAGTTTTTAAGTAAAAAGTAAATAAAGTTATGTAAAGTTTTTTTTAGGTAAAGTTTTTTGTTTTTATGCACAGATTCGACAAAAGCATAAAAGACAATAACTTTTATTGTTAATTGTGGTCCAAAAAATGAACTAATATTCTGTAATTTGGTTGGAAAGCTTGTCTGGTTCATACAACACATAAATGTATTGAATTAATTGTGTTTGCATCTTTTTACCAGACTTTTTAACAACTCTTACAGCTAGCCCCCAATTGCCGTTCATCTATGGGGTAAGTTTGCGCTTACTCTCCTTTCAGCTGAATTGCTTGTAAACAAGTAGGCACTGAAAACAATTCTTTTTCCATTTGTAGCAGTGTGTGGGGGCGTAATTATTATTTTTGAATGATTAAGCAAAACACGAAATGTCTTAGGCTATGGAAGTGGATAAGAACAGCTTTAGTGTAATTTTGTTTCATTTAAAACATGTTAAAAGCATATTTTTATCCCATAAAGCCTATATTAACTGCCTAACAACATTGTGGTTCCACTGTGGTCCTTCTTAAATCAGCATCCATTACATTTAACAGCACACATTTATGACTAGCTACTCTCATAAATCAGCAGAAGGGAACTTGTATGTGTAATTGCTGTGATTTTGCAAAAAAAGCCACAAATACACACACACAGATTTACATTCCTTCTACACTTCTACACCTACAGAAACTCTTACATTAACCTCAGGGCCCAAAGGAACTCTTTTAGCTATTTTATGTTTTCAAATAAGACCCCCTTTTTATTCCAAAATGTTGAAATGTTTGTGTTTTCCTTCATCCTGGGGACATTT